TTTGTTGTTGTTTTCAAGTTTTCAAGGTGTGAATAGGGAAATAAATGTCCATGTGTAAGTTGCTTTTTAGGATATTAAGACAAAAAATTATAACTTTGGGACATTTTCAAACACATCCCATGTACTTTAAAACAAAAACTCGGCCCTGCCAAGCTAACCCATTCACTAAATCAACCTGAGAAGAAGATTTCCCCATAGACACGGAAAATGAGTTTGTTTTTCTACTGTGTCCAGAGACAATTGTATTAACTCTAGTAAAGCAATCCCCTGCCTGGGCCTAGCAGCGCCTGATTATATCTCCAGAAAATTGAATTGTTCTCTTTTAATTTGTCAGCAAGAGTACTACTGTCTATTGTGTTTCTTTCTGCCATTTGGTTACAAGTTGGTCGAAAGATTAGGCCTTGGAATTAATACATTTTTAAGGCGTCAGATATAGAATGTAGACAATGATTTTGGACATATTTAGTTTCTTTATCTTCAGGTCATCACCTTTTACTGATTTGTCTTCTGATCATCAGTGAAGGGTGGATGAAAATGACATTAAGAGACGTGGGGAGGATATTATGCACTCCCACACTGATGTCATTCACTTGGCAGATTTTGCAAAACTTCCTTAGCTAGGGTAGTTCTTTGACTTCTTTGATCAGTGCTTATTGGTCATACACTGAATTTATGGAAATGACAGTTTGATTATAAAACTCAGAACTCTGCTTTTGAAATGACTTGACTTGTCTGAGATTGGTGTAAGATGATCAATAATGAAAGAAGCAGCTGCATCATATCATTGTATGTACTGGCTGTTTTCTTAACTCACTGACATCAGGGGGACATCCAGTGGACACAATGGCCACGCCCCCCACGCACACACCTTACCCCTCACCACCCCCTTTTAAGTTTACCCCTTTTCCTCACACACATAAAAAAGAGTATAACATGCATAATAGACAAAATCAATCAAATCTTCCATCCCTGTGGCCTACATATTATTTTCACTGATCCATAGTGATTTCACCGATTCATATTTTTTTATCGTTTTGCATTTTAAAGAGATTGGAAAGAGTGGTCTTAGGATCAGACAGTCGGGCATAACTGACTACAAGACATTTATACAGAGTGCTATTCCTGGTGACTTAAAGGTCTATAATGACAACAGTGTGCTCTGTTCATTTGTTAATGAAATAAGCTGGGTGAGATATAATAACAGCAGTAAATTTAGTGTGTTAGTTGAGACTATCCTCATTGTGACTGGATGTGATATAATGTGCTGACGACACAACCAAAGTGCATAAAGACCCATTTCATTCCTCTCTCTCTCTCTCTCTCTCTCTCTCTCTCTCTCTCATCCTTTTTGACCCAAGGTAAATCAGTAGAAGTCCACATAACTGAGACATTTTTCCTGTTTTAGAAACAATAGAAATACCTGCTGAGGGATATAGCTTAAGGAACTTGATATAGGTTAAAATTGGCGAATTGACTAGGGTGAAGTAGGAAATTATTATTATTATTATTATTATTAAAAAAGGAACACTACTGCTGAAGTAGAAAATGTGCTTAAAGAGATTATGACACTTTCTTTTTTTTTACCATCTTTAGACAATAAAAAACCTATTGCAGAATACACTCGTATAAATCATAAATCTGTCAAAAAATCACAGCGACTGGAATTTTATGCTTATTATAAAAAGTGCAAACAAAAAAAATTGAAAAGTTACATTGTTACCACATTTGCTGAAAGGAAATTGTAGTGTGCAGTCTGAAACAAAATTTTGTAGAAGTTATTTTAGTTTATTATCAGTTTTTCAGCAACTGTGTGTCTGTATATGTAGGTGCTCAAATAGCAGTATTACACCTTTGAACTGGGGCCATTACGTGAATTGCCAGTCATCACTTGTGGTAACTTTTTTTCTCGGAAATAACCTCTTGATTCAGCTGTCTCTGCCAACCATTAATCATCGTGGAGCTGTTACGTGATTCTAAGAACTCCCATTCAATGTAAGATAAGAACCTGACAAAAACCATGAAAGTATCGGTAACTTAAAGGTTATACTGCAAAATGTACTTTTCCTTATGAAAAGACATGACAAAGATTGGTGTTAAATTTAAAAACTTCAGAAGTGGGAATGTGCCCCGAGGTTCAAAGTCCAGGTAGCATCAGTGATAATCTCTATGGAAGCTCAAACGATATTCCGATTATTCGTGAACTTTATTCCCCCAAAGTGTTATGTTAACAAGACATGGGGAAGGTAAATTGGGGGTGCATCAAAACAAGTGTAATTTATGTCTGAGAGCATTTTTGTGAACAGCTTAAACTGATAAACCTTAGGCTTATAAATGAAAAATGCACCCAAGGCATCTGCATTACACCTTATCAGGTATTTGAGAATTTGATCACCACCTGAAAAAAAAGCATTGATCAGAAAACATGATGAACTTTTCATGAAGCATTAAGCGAATTATTCCACTTAATTTTTCTGATCTCCAGGTGTATCTCCACCAGAAATTGCCCTTTACATAAGATATAAAACAGATGGCTTAGATATGTAACACAATATTCTCACCAGTTGGAGTTTCTCTCTTATTCCTAAGTCTAATTAAGGCTCGTTAATTTAATTCAGGCTTGTTAATGATTCTTTTTTAACCTTTTTTGTCATTCCTATGTATTTTTTTATTTATTTATTTATTTATTTATTTATTTATTTATTTATTTATTTATTTATTACAAAGTATGAGAACAGAACTTATGGTCACTACCTGTGGTCATTTTTATTTTACTTATTTTATTTGTGAAAAATATTTATTTTACTTTATTTGTGAAATGCTGACCACAAAACTGATATATGTAGGGTTATGATGATACAGAAACATCTTTATCTAAACATAATATGTCAACTACAGATTTAAAATAGTTTTATGTTGTGGGTTATGTCCGTAATCCTGTGAATTAAATATTTAAAGCACAGCTGCATTATAATTTTTTTTAAATTTTTGACCCAAAGCATTCCATTTTATACCACTGCAAACCACACAGTTAATGAAAAGGGTAAGCTTTCTTGCTCTGTTGTCATAAAAATTTAAAAAGCAGAT